CCACAGACACAAAATATATAAACACATATTATTTAAATAAATATTACCACAAGCAGTCAACCTACCCTCAAATGAATTCTATAATAACTTGCTCTATTCCAAGTTTTTTTTTTTTTTGGGTAAAAGCTCTATTCCAAGTTTTAGTTATTCATTTTAATTTTAATGTCGAGTATTGTTCTCATTTCTCCAAACTTGTTAGATTATTTTCGAACTTAAACCCTTTGAAGTTTGAACCAATAACCGTACTTTGTCAAATAATTGTACACCTAACAATTGAAAATGAAGATACGCATTTCTTATTATTGAATCAAATGTTTAGAATATCATCATAATCATCTCTAACTTTAAGAAATTAATAAAGCTGAACCTAATGATCCTTTAGGATTTGGTAATAGGATTGCCCTCATCACATGGCGTTGCACTATTTGTGGAGGGGATTTTGATGGGCTAAATTTGGTTTAATTTTTTAACCAAACAAAAAAAATGGTTTAATTTGTCGTTGATGTGCTTTATCTACCCATCCTATCATATTCCCATTATCCATAATTATGGTTGACAAAAGTGTGCTCAACTACCACCCATATCCATCTCTAGATGGGCATATGCATATATGCATGTACTTAAGGCATTTTTTTTTAATTTAATTTTTTGGGAAGCTTTGAATGGATTATTTAATATTACATTGGACCCACTTTATGTATTATTAGTAACTAAAATACATAAATTAATGCAATGTTATGTTTGAAACTTGAAAGTTAACTTTGAATTGGAAAATACTATTTGACTATGGTCATCTAACCGGTCCTCCTGTCTATGAAAGGTAAGTGGAAAGGGAATATACAAAGGTAAAGAATGTAGTTTTCTAGCCAAAAAATATTATAAAAATTAAAGATGTAGTTGAAGTATATATATTTGTTTCTATTCACTTATTTAAGTACTATTTGAAAATATTACTACTACTAATAGAAGGAATATAGCCAACATAGGTGAAAATATATTTAAACTTGAAATAAAGATTTCTTGCCAAAAAAACACAAGATTTTCTTGCCAACAATAGTGCAGTTTTTTTTTTGGGTGAATAATAATGCAGTTTATTTGTTACGATAGTATTCTATCCTTCATTTTACTTACCCAAAAGAAAAAAAGTAAAATGAACCATTTTACTTACCAACATATACATATAAACCATTTTTTATTTAAGGTTATTAATTAATTAATTAATTCAAGAATTCAACAGTTTACAATCAAATTATATGTCTGGTCCATTTTTTTCAAATTCTTAGGTGATTAATTTATTTTCTTAAAACGCTATATTTGATAGTTAACCAAATAATAACATGGGTCATATCCGTGTAAGAATGGAAGAGAATCGAACTCTATTTTTCTTCTTTAGATACATATATATGAGTTAACGGAAAAGACCTATTTAAGAGAATTGAAAAACTCAGTTCACAACCCACCTTGGTGTCTGCTCAAACATAGTAAATGAACTTCATGCTTTACGCTTGGGACTTTTGCTAGCGTGGGATGAGGGTTTTTGACATGTTGAATGCGGAGGTTGTGTTAGAGCTTATCAAAGAAGCGAATATTGCTTTCCATCCTCTTGGAGCAATCATTGCAGACACACGGGATCTTCTTCGTCAAGATTGGAATTGCTCTTGCTATCATTGAGGGAGGGTAATTTTAGTGCGGATAGACTCTCTAAGCTTGGATGCACTATTGATGAAGACTATGTTGTGTTTGGTTCTCCACCACATTGTTAGCTGCCTTTCAAGCTGACATAAGGGGAGTTGCTTACCAAAGGGGGTTATAAGATGATGTAATTTTTTTACTTTCTGATTTTAAAAAAAGAAAAAAGAAAGACTCAAATTCAAAATCTCTCTATTGCTGAATTCATCGAATTTAACATGAATTAAAATCAAATAAACGGTAACAAATAATAGTGCCGTTTATATTTATTCGTGGAGTCTAAACGGTAGTATTCTATTTTATATTTTTGGTACGAGACAAAAGTTTTATTTTATTTTATATAAGCTTTATTTTTTTTTTTTTTGATAGGATATAAGTTTTATTGATACCAAAATATTTTATTTGTGAGAATTATTGGGATGGAGTTATTGAACAACGATTGGACGACCGGTGAGATATTTTTCTCAAATTTATTAATGGACCCACCAATATGCCAGAAACAAAAAATTGGACCATAATCCACATAATCTTTTTGAAATGGAAAGCATCAAAATTGTACGTTTGACTTTTATCACCTCGTCTCAATTCTATCCATCTTAGCTGCACTCTGCTAATCAGGACCGTTGATTTGCGTTCATCACGTGTAAAATGTGAATCAGATCCGCTGATTATTTAATGATTTAATTTTGATTATGTTCTTTTATGGCAGTTGTCACGATCCGGTGACAGTTAGAGAGAGTGGGAACTCTTTTCTTTTTTATGATTTTCGTAGATTTGTTTTGCGCCACCGTATTATGTACGACCGCCTTCCGTATATTATCGTATTTATAATGTACGCCCTTTGACTTTTCTGATTTTATGTTTCTATCCATTATAGAAAAGGTTGTCCTCAATGACACCCTTTTTAAGTTAATTAAAGGTTGCACAAAATTAATAATATCCTGTGTTTATTTAGGCCGCTAAGGATCGGATCTTAGTCATTTGAATTAAGAGCAAAGCACTCTACCATCATGTCAAATGTCCAATGACTAATAATTATCTATTTGATAAATAAACTTTTTATATGATACCTTTAAACATTGCAAGTTTAAAATTTATTGTAAACATTTTTAATTTTAATAATATAAAAAATTAATTTATAAGAGAATCGAAGAAGTTATAAAACTTGTCATTATTCTAATATTGCTCCTGAAATGATAATCTTTTAACTAAATATATAAATATATACCCTGAAAGAGTATATGTATCACTCTCTAAATTTAGCTTAGTTGAATATTTTAGAAGTTCATGATTGTTAAAACATTATAAATTATAAATAAAACCAACTGCTTCCATCTTATTTTATTTATTTTTTTGGCCACAATCTTATTTTATTTGTTTATTTTCCCTTTTTGACATCTTAATTTATTTTTGTCCCATATCCGTATTTTTTTTAACTAAATTACTGAACAAATCTATAAAAGCACAGTAGATTATTTTTTCAAAAGTAAATCAATACAACAACACATTTTAACACCCGGAATAAATACCATCAAGTTTTTCAACCTACTTAGTTGAAAAGAAAGAGTAAATATAGAAAGTTACTCTATTTTAAAATGAAAAAGGTAATATATAAATATAAAATTTCTTAAGAGTTAGAAGTTAGAACAAATCTCATGGAAACAAGTACTATTTCGCAAGACAATGTAAGTGGATCCTCAAGCATGTTTATAATAAAAAAGTCACATGTGTCACTGAATGGTCACCCTCAAGAATTTATCATCCTCAAGCATTCTTAGGGGATTTTCATCATTACTTGCAACTAGTTTTTAGAAGTGTAGTCCGACTTACAGTTTTATAATTTCTCTTGATGTAATTTCTTTGTTCTTTCCAACATATATATGTATAAAAAAAATAATAAAGAGAGCAAACGATAATATAATATGTATTCAAACATTTAAGAATGACATATCACATATGCAATATGTTTTTTTTTCTGTTTGATGAATGATAACATATGTTTAAGTTTTCTGTGTTTAGACCTGAGTTGTTAGTTCAACTGGTAGGTGTACCGTGCCTGAACCGTGAGGTTCTGAGTTCAAGTCTCACGGAATGTGAGTTTAGTTTATAATTTATTTATTTGTGTATTTGGTAGGTATATGGTTTATTTATGGTAGTTTCTTAGTTTGATTTGATTTCTGATTTAAATCTTTGGGTATATAGAGATTTATTCTGATTGTAATGAGATTTCACATGTACTCACTAAAAAAAAGTTTTCTGTGTTTAGGAGATTTTTTTTAAGATAACCGTATTTAAGAGAGTTAAAATTCTGACTTAAAAAGTATAAATAGCAAAAGTTATTATCTTATTTAATTTTGGATAAGCTCGCTACAATACATACACACACATAACATAATAATCAGATTGATTATGGATTAAATTCGAGTGCAAATGGAAAAATAGTAACCCAAAATTGGAGGGGCATTAATAGAAATACAGTGAAATCAGGGGGGCAATGTGTGAAAGTAACAAAATAGTTCTCGTACACTACGGCGGCTGGTAAGAATCAGGGGGAGACAGAAGGAGTTGGTGAGCAATACAAAATCTGCTTAAAAAACCAGAAATTTGACACCCACCATTTTCAAACATTATAACTCAATACCAAACCAAACTCTTCCCATCCCTATTTCTTCGTATCCCAGGTTTCATTTCCTCTGAATTCTGCTTTTGAGGTTTGTTTTCTTTGTTTTGTCTTTTCTTTCTTCAGTGATCTGGGTTCTCAATTCCTGCTCTGCGACAAGTGTTCATTATTGAGTTTGCTTTGATTGCTATTTGATTTGAATTTTGAGTTTGGTTTTGACATTTTCATGTAAATTTCCTTTCTTTTTATGATCCATGCAATAAAGTTTTGCATTTTTATGCGTTTCTTCTGCATGTTATTGTTTGTTTCTGATAAAACCGATGGAAGCTAAATTTCATGTCTTTTATGAGATGATTGTAATTTAGTTAAGTAAAAATGTAATTTTTATGTAAAGCTCTGTCATTTCCTTAATTTTGGTAAATAATATGGATTAGTGTAGGATTTGGAGGATTCATTCTTGAGAGTAAAGGCCAAGCAAAAAGAAAAAAAAGAAAAAAAAGAAAAATCTGACAACCCATTGTTTAATTTAGTTCTGGAATTTGGAATATTAATCAAATCATTTAATGGATGTGGCCACATGAAAAATTGAGTTTTTTCCCTTACAGCTCACATTTCTTTTGAAATACAGATCATACGAGGATCACAGCAAGAGCAAAATCTTGGTTTCTCTTGTAAAAAAGAAGCTTAGAAGATGGGATCAGGGGAATGGTGCCTTCAGAAAAGAGAAAGTTTTAGAAGTGACTCGTTTTCAGGCAATGACAATGTTCCTGAAACTGGGTGCCTCTCAATTATTGTTCTAGGTGCCTCTGGTGATCTTGCCAAGAAGAAGACTTTCCCTGCTCTCTTTCATCTTTATTGCCAGGTTTGGTGTTGTATTCATTTTTTGTTAAAAAATTCTTAGAACTGAAATGAAATTGATCTATGTCTCACTATGCATGGAGTTTTTGGTTAGCTTTTGCTGGAAGGCTAAACATGGTTCATCAGTGGGCTAACCTTTGATGGGGATGGTGTCTGTGCAGGGATTTCTACCACCAGAGGAGGTACACATTTTTGGCTATGCAAGGACAAAGATTTCCGATGATGAATTGAGAAATCGCATTCGTGGGTGAGTTGTCTGTCCTCTCCTTTACTGAGAACAGAGAACCGTTTTTTTTTTCTTTCATTTGCTCCACTTTGACTGTTATTCACACATTGGCCAAAAGAAAGATGCTGCTCAGGGGAGTTTAACTTTTTTATGAATGATGCAAATGGATGGCCTCAACTGACATTTCGTTTCAAATGGCAGATATCTTGTCAGTGATAGAAGTTCTTCACCCTCAGAAGATGTATCAAAGTTCTTACAGCTGGTAAGTACGGCCCTGGTTATATGTTTACGCGACAGGAACTTCAGTTATGTGTTTGCTTGTAACCAGCCATTGCTTTGATCTGTAGATTAAATATGTAAGCGGTTCATATGATGGTGCTGAGGGCTTTCAACTGTTAGACAAGAACATTGCAGAGCATGAATTCTCAAAGAGTAGCCAAGAAGGATCATCTCGGAGACTTTTTTATCTTGCACTTCCACCCTCAGTATATCCATCTGTTTGCAAGATGATCAGGCAATATTGCATGAATAAATGTAGGTACTTCTGTCCCAAGACCAACACTGCAGGAATATTTCATTTAGATGATTTATAGGGGCTCTGTGAAGAAAAAATTTCATGTCGTATGTAGTTTTTTCATATTTGATTCACGATTCATCAAAGCTAAGTAAAGTTTCCTATTTGTCTTCTTTTAAACACAAGTTATAGATGGTTTCTGGATTTCTGCACGATTTTTAGATTGGATGTAGAAATATCTTATACAGTGGTGCAATATTCCAGGAAGTGTTGGCTTATGATTAGGAAACTTTTGAGTTTACTCATTTAAATGATGTTTGCATAAATGTGAAAACAAGATATATGATTTTTCTCAGCTGACCTTGGTGGATGGACTCGGATTGTTGTTGAGAAGCCATTTGGCAAGGATTTGGAATCTGCAGAGCAACTGAGTTCCCAGATTGGAGAGTTGTTTGACGAACCACAAATTTACCGTATTGATCATTATCTGGGAAAGGAGTTGGTGCAGAACCTGGTAATTGATGTGTAAAAATGTGCTTTGCATTTCTTGTTTTGTTTAGCAGCTCAGCTGATATATGGCTTTTTGGAACTTGCAGCTCGTACTCCGTTTTGCTAATCGCTTCTTCTTGCCCCTTTGGAATCGTGACAACATTGATAATGTACAGGTGAGGATCCTTCTTTTGTGGAAGTTTAAAGTTTCAAACTGCTATGGGAAGATACTCCCTGTTGATTAGATCGGGATAGGCCTACTGGTCTGGGCTATCATCAGAAGTTGCATACGTATATGCTGATGTTACTTGAAAATTAAACTGTTGAAACAATTATTGGCCTGAAGCTATAAGAGCTTTGTTAATTGTCAAGTTGTATCTTTTGAATTGTTTTCATATTAAGCTCTATTTTCTTTGTTCTTCTGGCAGATTGTATTCAGAGAGGATTTTGGAACTGATGGTCGTGGTGGATATTTTGATGAATATGGGTATGCTACTTAGCACTTAGTTTATGTATCAGTTGTATGAAGATTTTTATCAAGAATCATGTAACCTTCTCCTTGTATGTAATTTGAGATATTCTCCCTAAAACAAGAATACATGACCTAACTGGTGTTAAGACTTATTAACTAAGGGAGAACGTGCTAAATATATGGCTCTCTAACTCCTTTTCCTGTTTTGTGCAGAATTATCCGTGATATTATCCAAAACCACCTGCTGCAGGTAAGATCTTTACTAACTTCAATTAGATATCATGTGGTTGAATACAACCATTGCATCATTTTCTATGTATGTAAATGGAGTGGCTATAACTTAGACCATCATTCTTTTGATTTATGTATTGAGTTGAAGTTTTGTTAAATCTATTAAGTTAGGGGTAGGCAATACTTTTTTGTCATAAAAAAAATGCTTACAATGTGTGTCCATCTTGAATCTGAAGGCAATATGTTTCTTAACTCTTGTTGGAGGAAGAACATACTTTGTAGTATTAGCCTACTTACTTCTTGGACTTGTACCAACTGCAGGTTCTTTGTCTTGTTGCTATGGAGAAGCCCGTCTCTCTCAAACCTGAGCACATTCGTGATGAGAAAGTGAAGGTATGCATTCTTACACTGATATGTAGAAAGTGACTGCTAAATTTCATTTTCTTCCTATTAATGAAGTATTAAAGCTTATCCATTTTAAAGGAGTATATTGGAAATTCTAATACTCCTCCATAAGATTTCTCATTTTCCTTCTAATTTAGGTGTTCTAAAATCAGTTTTTTCTGTACAATATGCTGATTAGTGATTACTATATAAAATCCAGGTTCTTCAATCAGTACTTCCAATTAAAGATGATGAGGTTGTACTTGGACAATATGAAGGTTATAGAGATGATCCAACAGTTCCTGACCACTCAAACACTCCAACATTTGCATCTGTTATTCTCCGTATTCATAATGAAAGATGGGAAGGTAGTATGATTGCACCATGTTTTTTGTTTTCTTCATGTCCCATATAAAATTTTCTGCTGGCTCAGCCCTAGCAAATCTGGACTGCTCGTCATTTGGAATTTGGAGTTATATAATCCTTTAGTTTCTAGTTTGTCACTAATAGTCAGTACTGTTGATGGTTTCATTACATTTGCTTATTGCAAACACTTTTTGGTCTGTTTGCAGGTGTTCCATTCATAATGAAGGCTGGGAAAGCATTGAATTCAAGAAAGGCAGAGATACGTGTTCAATTTAAGGATGTTCCTGGTGATATATTCAGATGTATGACAAAAGACCTTGAAGAATTTTGATAATTCTCTTCTGTGATTGCTTATTTCCATCGAGCTGCTTTTCTAGTCTTTGTGATGAACTTTGAGTGTGGAAGTGCAATAAGCCTGGACTTAAATTTAGATAATTACTTGGGAGATAACATTTATGAATAATAGAATGGACTTTAGAAGCTTACATTGAAAATTGAGATAGTGATCCTTTTAACTGTTGAGATGTCTTCAGTGATTATTTCTCTATGATAGGTGAAATACATGTCATTAATTGATCTAGAAAACAATGGTAGTTGTCCAAAAATATAAGATAATGAGCTGGAACAGTTCTATCCTCTGAGTTCCATTATACAATTGTTGTGTTAGAGGGAAAGTGCATTTATGAGACAAGTTAATTATACTGGTATAACATAGTAACAGCTGGCATAGATAAAGCGCATTTACTGTTCTCTTTTGAAGTATTTTAATTAACCTTTTAATCAGCTTGTTGCTTGAATTTTGTCTTCTTATTTAGGTCAAAAGCAAGGGAGAAATGAATTTGTCATTCGCCTGCAACCTTCTGAAGCCATGTACATGAAGCTAACGGTAAGTTAACAAATCTTATTGTATTAATTGAAAGCTATTAGAGCTGTAATTGTTACTTACGGGATTTTCCTGCTTGTAGTTTCAATGTTTCCTTTATTCATCAAGATTTATTGAGTAGTTCTGCAATTTTCACCCAGACAGCACTGCATATATTTTGGTCTGCTTGAATTTTTAAATATAATATACTTCGCATTATCTTGGATCTTGCGGCTAGTGACAAAATACGGAAATGCCTCATTTTGGTGAATTTTGTGCTCTGTTGATCAGCAATCCTTGATGCTTGATTCCCATTCCTTTTTTGGTCAGATTTTGCAAAACTTGAATGAAATTTCTACAATTTACTGATTCCATTTTAGATTCTAGAAAACTGTTCATTCAGCCAATCGCAACTGACAGGATCTAAGGTTGAGTTGGATTAAGGTTTGCAGGTTTTGATGCTTGTAAAATGACTTGCATTTCATCTCTGATGCAGGTGAAGCAGCCTGGTTTGGAGATGTCAACAGTACAAAGTGAACTAGACTTGTCATACAGGCAACGTTATCAAGGTGTTACAATCCCAGAGGCTTATGAACGTCTTATTCTTGACACGTATGATCCTTGCCCTTAATGATCTTGAAATATTCTTGTCTGCAATGCTTTATTCTTTCCACTTCAAATGAAATGCATCTATTTCTTCTGAGCTTAAAAGGGGTATGAAGTGTGGTAATGAGGATTACAAACAGTTCTAACTAGTCAAGTGAATTAAGAATATGAGTTTTCCTCTACACATGTAATGATTAAAATAATCTGGTTTTGGTTTCACAGGATAAGAGGCGATCAGCAGCATTTTGTTCGCAGAGATGAGTTAAAGGTAGGAATCCTTGTAAGCTTGTAAAGAAGATAACTTATGTAGCAATTCAAACTAACATTTCTGTTGCTTCAACCAACAGGCGGCATGGGAGATTTTCACACCTCTTCTACACAGAATTGACAATGGTGAAATGAAGCCAATTCCCTACAAACCAGGCAGCCGAGGTCCAGCAGAAGCAGATGAGCTTTCGGCTAAAGCCGGCTATGTTCAAACACATGGATATATATGGATTCCTCCCACCCTGTAGAAACTTGCTAGATGCGGCATTCCATCATCACCAACCATACACAAGTTGAGATTTCCCTAAGGCCCCTTTTGTAACGAATCCAATAAAACATAGCCATGTAAGCCTACTTTAGCGGGCCAGCTCGCAATAGTATGTTTGCAAAAATATGCTTACCCTAAGAGCTTGTTCAAGTTTGAAGTATGTAATCTTATTTTGTGTGTAAAAATATGATTTGATATCCCATAAAATCATATTTGGAACACTTTATGAAATATCTTTTCTTGTCATAGAAGAGAAGATTTTGTTTCTATTTTGGTTATGGAATCAGGTTGGCTTCACCTTGACCCATCTTTCCTAGTAGTTTGCAACAAGAAATCCATAGCTCCTCCACATAGAATCCTTGACTTGGTTCACTTTTTGGGCAAAAAATATATTCTTGGTTTAACATATCTCTTCCCTAAAGCATTCCAAGTTTCCTATTGGAGCTAAAGGATCACACTTTTCTAAACAAACTTTCCAAGTGGAATAAAGATAGTATATAAATGGCATTTCTAAACAAACTTTCCAAGTCTGCTTTCTTGGTGCCAAAAAAAAAAAAACAAACTTTCCAAGTGGAATAAAGATATATAAATGACATCAAACAAAATCTGATATTCATTCCCTAGATTTGAATAATCAAATTGGATTATTTGGCTAGATCATCAACCAAAGAATAATATTTGAGACTGACCCTTTCTTTTTTTCTTTATTATCAACATGCTAAGTTAGCATAAATTATAGTAGTGATACTAGTGACATTATTTTAATTTATGTTGATGACATGAGACTCATCCTAATTACAACATTTCCTTGGAAGATTTTTTTCCCTTTTTCTTTTTCCATTTAAGTTGGAAGATGATGGAATTAAACAAAGAAGGTTAGATACAAGCAAAGAGAACTTTGGAGGGCAGGTAAACCATGTGGAGCCCTAACTTTCCATGCAACTGTCTTTTGAAAGCTTTCTTTTATCAACCACACATTTCTTACTTTCCTTTTTCTTCCACTTTTTCTAAATTTCCTTAAAATTTAAGTATTTAACCTCAATTTGCCAAAAACATGGTGACCCAAACACCAAAACTAACTATATAGTACTAGTTATGTTGTTAAATATTGTAAAAGACTATATGATACTTGATAGGAATATTATTATGCTAATTAAAAAAGAGTAAAGTCTATATAAATGCTATATATACTAAATCATGATTGGTGCACCTATGTTGCAACTTGCAACAACTCTAACCAATATAGATTATAAGTGCTAACAAAAATTTTATTATATTTTTAATGTTAATTGAAAATGTCTTCACACTAATTAGTTGGAGCATGGAATTATGATAAGAACACATTGATAAACACTTTGTGATTGTTTCAATAGAGAAAAATCATGGGAAACTTAAAGCATGACAAACAAGATTTGATGGATTTGAAATTGTGATAATAGCTTTGTGAAATGATGTTTGAACACACTAATTTTATTGCAATTATGATAATAACTTTGCAAAATTGAGACAATTAATTACTTGGATTTTTCTTTAAATATGATTAAAAATTTAATACTAGATAAAATGTCAATGTCAGCCTAATTTATTCTTATCATAGATATTTCTACCATGCCAACTCAAATGTCAAGATATATATGTATAGTAAATATAAATGTCAATTTTATCATACCCTTCTCATTTGTCTCTACTTTGTCCCTAATTCTAAATACTGCAATTTTTAATTAAAACTTAAGATGGGAATATTCAAACTTTACCTTCTTTTCACATATAAAAAGATCTAGCAGTATTCCAATATTCATCTGATAATAGTAAAATACCACAAAGTAAATTACAAAAATACAAACTTTAATAAACAAATACTTAGTATTTACCAATAAATTGTTATATCTAATCAAAATGTTTATCGTTTAAGTACTATAAAACAACTTTATAGTCTATAAGTTGGCACTTACCATTCCAAAATCCAAAAAGGTTACCTTACTAAACCTATTATTAGGATATAATCCTTATTATTATTGAATTAAATAATTAATTTTGCTCAAAAAAAGTATTATAATTAATTAATTAATTAATTTAATAATAATAATTAATTTATTATTTAAGAAAAAGAATATATATATATATATATATATAAATAAATAAATAAATTCTAAAAGTCACCAAACCTAAAATAAACTCTCCAAAGGGCTAGTCCCCCAATTTGCCAGGAACTTTTGTTTCCTCCCCCTTCGTTCTCTCCTTCTTCTCCCTTATTTTTAGCAAACTCTGTTTTTTTCCCTCTGTTTTGTTCCCCTTTAACCTTCTTCTTCTTATTTTTTCTCTCTGCATTGCGCTTTAGCATTGAAAATTTTGGTCACAAAAAACTCCTGGTTCTTTTATCTCCTGAATTAGATTCTCTCATAATAAAAAGAAAAAAAAATTATCTTTTGTTTCTAATTTTCTCTTTTCAAATCCCTTGTCCTTGTTCAGTACTCTCTTGTTTTCTTTCCCATTCTTTCTTTTCCTTCAAATTCAGAGAAAAGGGTCAAAAAAATCTTGTTTTTTTCAGCTTAAATAAAGCTCCTTTGGCTTTCCAGGTTTGATTAGGTTTTACAAGAAACTCTATTGAATTTCTGGTGTCTTATTACTTTTTTAGTCTTGTTCTCTCACCTGAAATTATGGGTTTTCTTGTATTTTGATTAGACTTAATAAAAGAAAAAAAAAACTTCTGGCTGTTTAATTTTGTTATTTCGCTCAATTCTTGAGTTAGTTTAGGGTTGTTGATAAGAGGGTTATTGGTATTCTTGGATTTCTTGGGGATTAGAGAATAAAAAAAAGAAAAAAAAGAATGGCTTTGAATTTTGATGCTTTTGGGAATTCATTGAGTTCTTGGAGTTGCAATTGGGATATGGAGAAAACCCATGTTAGTGGAAGTAGCATTAGTGAATCTAAAGGCTTTTCTGAGGTTGTTAATGATGATATTGTTGATAGATTGCCTGCAGATCCTTTTGGGATGGAAATAAGGTCCACCTTAACTGCAGCGATCAGTTTGATTCAGGATTTTGAGAATGATTTTGGGTCAGATTTCTGTGTCTTTGGTATGCAAGGTGGTGATGAAAAGAAGGTTGCTGATCAACAGCATTTGTTTAAGGGTATCAATTGGGTTTGGAATGGCAGCATGAGTTTCCAAGAGGAAGGTTGTAGTTCTGGTTTTTATGGATTTGGTTCAGGAGATGTTAATAAAAAGATTGGTGATCAATCATCTTTGGTCAAGGGTCTAAATTGGGTTTGGAATGGTTCCATGAGTTTTCTCGAGGAGGAGGGTAGCTTTGAAATTAACGAAATATCAATCCCAAATGATGATTTTAATGGATTTGGGATTGATAATGGATTTTCCACTGGGAGTTTTGTGATCAATAATGTAGGTAAAGAATTGGAGGATTGCAAGGGAGATTTTCCTGATGTTAGTGAAGGAGGTGCTCCTAATGATGCTTTGTTTTTTGCACTTGGTTGTCTTAGTGTCAAGGACCTCCTTGCTGTTGAAAGGGTTTGTAGGTCTTTGCGGGATACAGTTAGAAATGATCCTCTTCTGTGGAGGAGAATTCACATTGAACATTCATTGAATAAGAAGATTACTGATGACGCTCTTTTGAAAATAACTAGCAGGGCTCAGGGCACTCTGCAAAGCTTGAGTCTGGTTGGGTGCATAGGGATCACTGATGATGGTTTGAAGCGCGTGCTCGAGAGAAATCGCGGGCTCACCAAGGTTTGTATTTCCAGTGCAAGTTGCTGTTCTTGATTCGACAATATACATTCTTATACAGTAATTGCTGTTCTTTTAATTGTTGTAATGACTTGCTTCCTTTTGTTTTGCAATTGTGTCCGGATTTCATATGGTATTTGTCAATTCTTATAGGTGGATTCCTCACTTGTGTTCCATATTGATGCTTAATTTGATAGTTGCATGGTTTGATTGTTTTGCATTTACCCAATTGCATTAGTGGACTGTGTTCTATCTTTTATTGTTTTGAAAAGTATGATGTGCATGCCATCCTGAGTTTGTCACGGTGTATGATACTTTTAAATTGCATAGAATTTGATTAAGATTGATATGTGGATTGATGCTTCGTATATTGAAATGCTGATAGCATTTACTAGATTTGTGGACTGGTTGTTGTGAACTCAACGGCTCTTTGTGTTGAAATTTTTGTGTGTTGTGATGTCTTCTTCTTATGAGCACTTAAAAGTGCTCTTGCTGCCACAATATTTTCTTTAAGTAGAATCTATTTTTGCTCTCTGATCCTTGTATTGATATTGTTGGCAAAAGGTCCTTGAAGCATTATAGCGTACTAGTGTTTATGATAGCTGGATTTGACACAGACCACCCCCTTCCCCCTCTTTTTCTCTCTATGAAGTCATAGCAAGTTAACAATTTGCTCCTTTCCATGCAGCTAAGTGTGCCTGATTGTACACGACTCAGTATTGAGGGCATTTTGTTCAATTTGAGAGCCTTCAGGTCTACTGGATCCCCTGGAATAAAGCACTTACGGCTAGGTGGAAGTTTTGGTGTAACAGAGGAGCAGTTCAAAGAGTTGAAGTTCTTACTTGGTGTAGATAATCCAATCAAAACGGGAGCGCAGAAACTGCAAAATTTTTGGGGGCAGTTGCATCGCTTGCGTGATGATGATAGGGCCATTGACATTGAGGTCTGCCCCAGATGTCAGAAACTGAAACTAGTTTATGATTGCCCATCTGAGAGTTGCAGAAGAACAAATCATGCTGGTCAGATGTGCAGGGCTTGCCTTATCTGCATATCACGCTGTATTCGCTGTGGGTGCTGCTTTAAGAACTGTGATTATGAGGAGACGTTTACTCTAGATTTTCTTTGTTTTTTTGTTGGAAGCAGATCTGGAATCCTGAAGAGAAGCCAGAAGGTGCGGGTGCCTCCTCTTCGAAGCACACCATCTTTCATCAAGAGAGGAGGTATCAGTTGTGTTTTTA